AGGGGGATGTTCGTAGAATAACGGAGAATTGACGGTGAAGGACAGCGACGTGATGAGAAGGGGAATAGTGTTAGTAGCAGGGCTGTGCAGCGGAATCGAGTCGAGCGTACGAGGGAAAAGAAAGTATTAGAAAAGCCGGGCCACTCTGATCGATGCCAAAGAGTGGCTGCGGTTTCCCGCTCGATCACAGTGGTAGGGTCGGAAGAGAGGGGTCATGGCGACTAACTACGATAGGCGCCAGCACACACGAGGAAAACCTCGCGGTTTGTCTAGGTTTGCATTCGGAGAGGAGAGGTTTGTCTAGGTTTGCATTCGGAATACAGAAAGATTTTTCAGTAGGCCATCTCCTACTTAAGCGCTATTATTAGGATTTTCTGGCTTCATCGGTGTAGCAAGCGTAAATCGAGCGCCTCTATGCAAAGGAAACTATTTAAGGAAACCGGCGGGAACAGGAACACCGGTTTCTTACGAACTTTGAGGATTGGTCGACTCGTTGTCCCTCGGCATCCTCAACCTTAGAACGACTTTTTCGTGTTTTTTTATCGGTAGTGAAAGTTAAAGTGCTGCGGAATATTGGTCGGGATCTGGCGAATATTAAAGAAAATGGCGTATAAGGTGCCTTTGTTAGCTTCAAGAGAAGGAAGGCCCGACTGGCTCCCCCATATTAACGGCTGATTGGACCAGAGGCAAGAGGTAAAAATTTGTGCTCAGCAACCAAATCGAACTTTTGCCTTCCTGGAGATGATGTTGTAGATTTTGTGAAGTACCTGGCAGCAGGAAACCTAATTTTAGTAGTGAAATTCCATCGGTCAGAGCGCGAGGAAGCGGTATCGTAGATGAAGATGTGCCGGACTATTCAGCAATCTTCCAATTTTTGGTATCCAGCGAGAAGTGGGCTGTCTAGACGGAAAACATGGGTTTTCTATCGATGTAGGCCTACCTTCTCACTGCAGCCTTCCTACACTCATGAAAAAATGGTATTATGAAACCACCAATTCCAGAACATGGACTAAACTGAGCTTTCACCTCAGCAAAGAGCTCGCATGTTGTACAGGGCAGCTAAAATGTATGGGACGCCATGTTTTCATGTGCAGATTTCAAGAAAGAGACTGTATTGACAAACCAACTTTACAGAAAGATAGGGTTGGGCTATGTGATAACTAAGGACAAAAGGTGCTTGAATTTGACGATTCTGCTTTGAGAGAGGCCTTCTGACGTCCAACGACAAAATCAGCAGTGCGCCGCAGGTAGCCAACGGCGATGTCGTCCCACCTCTTCTGAAGCGCTAACTTCAGAGCACCCACCGAGCTGTAGAAGCCTTTGAGGTCTTGCTCTCTAACATTCCTACATAGAGACGTTCAGACTTGAAGTCCCAAGAAAAAGAAAGTCACAGATCATTGCTCCAGTGGCTGAATAAATTGCTCGTTCAGAACGGCTTCAATGATTTGAAAGGGTTTCAGGGAGGCCGGCTTTATTCAGGAACAAGATTCACAAATGCACAAACTTTCAGTAACTGACGAGCACATGTGATAGCCCCTCATAAAGTGATCAAAGCAAAACTGCTATTCGCAGTGTGCACAGCGAATAAAGAAATGCTGGGGACGTGGAGGGCACCACAGTGAGAAAGCCACAGTTAGAAGGTTCCCTCGTAACTTCTTTCAGAGAATCGTTCCGCAGATAACAAGAACGGATTTGAGCTCAGCGTCGCAAGACGCGTGCAGTGGACTACACCTCATTGCCGATGAATGAACTGACCAAATGACCATTCCCCGTCCGTGTGAAAGATTCTCATCAAATCAATTCGTCGGAGAGAAGCGGCGCGCCTCGAAAAAGAATTTTTTGCATTTTATCAGCCGATTTGGCTCTAATTGCTCCAACAAAACTAGTATAGATAGAGGCGGTCGCTCTTCAAAAAAGGGTTACTCGCCGAAACCTATTCATGGGATTCACGGCAGATCATGAGATTGAAAGCGATGTGACTCACGTTGGCTTGATCCTTATGAGTGGCCCTTGTCTAGGTGATTGTCCTAATCCTTGCAGTGCACAGTTCTCGTCCGTCAAAAAGTTGCGGTACTAGAGATGTGTATTTGAACCTTGAGAGCAGGAAATATGTTTTGAAAAGTAGAAGAGGGAATATCGAGTCGCTCTGCGAAGTCGCAACTTCAGGCCGTCCTTGGTCATGCTTTGATTATGGGTCGATGCGAAGAAAACTTCATAGCGAGAGTTCAAATGAAAACTGGACCAAATAACTTATGGAGCTTTCAACCAGTTCCAAACTTCAATGAGCTTCACAAACATTCCAAAAATACTCCACGGTTCAGTGACAGCAAGCGGTCAAAGTCGCCTCCCATACTTAGCCACTCTATACAATAACATTTCAATGAAGAATTCCACAGAAACATCCGTTCTAGTCCACAAACATGAACATCGACTTAGAAGTCCAATAATGATAGGACTGGCTCAAAGAAACTCGTCTAGATGCCTATCCCTATTACCAAGGTCTAAGACAAAACTAGGTTTCTCGTTGGGGTTTCCTTCGCGGTTTCTTCGCTTTTTTCCGGTCAACCTTTGCATCCACACCCTCATCATTGAATGCTGCTGTTGCACATGATCCTGGGTTTGGCTTTATGAGAAGGAGAAAACCATAAGTGGATAGAATACGATCTATACGAACCAGTATTAGAAGGACCAGACATTCGAATCGACTATCGAACTGCGGAGGATATTAACCTACTTTGCTGTTAGAATCATCAGCTCTGTTGTTATGCAGAAACTATTATTCAAAAAAACACCCATTGAGCACGTATTTTGCAGATTTTGCCGCATATTCGGCCCCTTGCACTTCGACATTGTCATGGAGGAGGCAACGCGGGAGCATCCTGACTATAAATTGGAGGAGTAGGTTTCCTCATACCCTTCTTCAAAAGTGTCGACGAAGAAATTTTTAATTCAGTTATGGAGACTTTGGAGGCTTCATGTCAGCTAACAATCCTATCCAGGCTACACGCTCGTTTCTTATCCTTGCCACTAGCATTATCTCACCTATATGTTATATTATGTTTGAGGCGACTCACACTCAAGACGCTCCATGGAACACAGGAGCAGTACACAGAAAAAACTGTGCACGGTTCCAAAATGTTTCTGCAGGTGAACTTCTGAATTTTGAAGCGATTACTATTTGGTGTGATTCTATGCGATAGCAGTGTGGGTGCAAACGTATGATTGCACTCAACATCCATTAGGAAAGAACCTTAATTCCATTTGTTGCGGCAAGCAATCCGAACGACTTCTTCTGGATTTGTCAGAAAACATTACGAGAAATACGAGACGCACACAGGTAATACATATACTTTGCAATATAAGTCAGTCGTTTATTCAGAGTTGAGTTTACTCCCTCCGGCTGAATTTCAACAATTGTGACAAAAGCAGCGTAGATGTTATTAATTGCTCTTCAGCGAATATTCCTCTATGGGTACCCATACAGGGGTGGCCAAAAAAGAGACACTTTGCCCATGGCGCACATCATCGAACTTTTCGTCGCACAGGGAGCCGATGTTAATGAAAGTTTTACGGCGGAATATTCCTTAGGTGTTCCCCGTAAGCCCTTCACTGCCCCCGCCGTCTTCAGAATATGACGTCATCTGCCGTCACCGTCGAGCTCAACGAGGCTTACCGTAATCGCTCCGGCCTGAAGCTGCTACATAATTTCTTCAATGGATTAACTGTTGAATAGCTTCCCAGAGACATTAGCTGTGACTATGCAAAACCGCTTTTGACCAGCGTTTCAGGGACGTCGTAATGGTCTATGGTACCTCGACGACCTCGTTGAGCTCGTACCGTGAACCATGTTTCCGTGGGAAAATCTTCTGATGTCGTCGGTGTAGAAGGCTGTCATGTAACTTTAGATAGATTAGAATGTGCTCTTCAATACTGAGTTGGGGCAGTCGATTTGATTTAGCAAAGTGTGATTAATGCTGTCTGAAATGTGGAGTGAAGTGTCTCTTTTTTGGCCACCCCTGTATGCATTATATCATTGAAACAGGACCGGGAGTCACCAGGCCTTGCGCTGCTGATGCTTCGTGAGAGCACGATGTGCTTACACCAAAGCACATACATATATTGGGTTGTCCGGAAAATTCCCGCCGTTTTTATAGCTCACTTTTGAGCGCTTTATTTCTGGGTCACTTTCGAGAAACTGCTGATGCTTTATATATCTTTAGAAAGCGCATTTCCCGCCCTATCTATATCTACTGTTTTTCAGTCCTAAACCGCTTTTCCAATTTTTCTTTGGAGTCTTGAAACAACCTACTCAACAGCCTGCTTTGCACTGGTTTCTTGTTTCCCCTCAAACTTGCTCGGAAATGTGCGGAAGCAAGTTGCGATATCTTCTGAGCATTCGGCTGCGAGGCCTCGAAAAATGCGCTGTGGAGTCGTGTTTCAAAAAGGCTTCCTTGCGATGTTGAGAGCTTCGAAA